CTGGGGATGCAGGGGAGGCAGGAGCAGATCTCTTGGTCCCGGACGCAGGTCCAGGAGGGGTCTCGGGGATGCAGGAGCTGTTGTTCGCACAGGGAGGATGGCGCGGGGGCTATGGCAGCCCCTGTCACCTGCCTGCTGCACGTGAGGAGCGCAAAGATGGGAGCTGCCGAGGAAAGGGGGTGGCCGCCACCGTCCAGGGCCGGGAAGGGCAGGGGGGCCGCGGCCTGGGTGCCTGCGGAGCTGGCAGGGGTGATACGGGCCTCTGCAGAGAGGACGGAGGTGACACGGGGTCCCTATGGGGGAGATGGGAGGGACATGGGCTCTGTGCCCCTATGGAGGGGACAGGGGTGACATGGGGAGGATACACAGCGGTGACACGGGCTCTGTGCCCCTGTGAAGGGGACAGCGGGTACACGAGGCCCGGGGCCCTAAGAGGGCTGGGGGTGACAGCCGCCCCTGGGGCGTGCGGAGGGAGCAGAGCCCTGGGGCGAGCCGGGGCCTGGCGCGTGCGGAGGGGCCGCGGGCAGCCGCGCTGCAGCGGCGCCTCCTTCCCGGGAAGCGGGGCGCGCGGGGAGCCCGGGCCGCTACTCACCGCGCCCGCTCCGCGCTGCCCGGAAGAGGCTCCGCGGCGCCGCGGGCGAGCGGGCCGCGCTGCTCCGGGACCGCCCCGCGCCGCCGGGACCACCGCCCCGCGCCGCCGGGACCGCCCCGCGCCGCCGCGGGCGGAGCCGCCTCCCCCCGTCCCTTTGGGATCATTTCTCCGCGGGAGAGCGGGACGAGTCCCGCGGGTCGTCACCCAAAGCGCTGGGGGAAAACCAGATTTCCCCTCCCCCCCCCATAGAAATGTAGTAAATCCACAGGACATCCCAAACCAATTGGAAACCACTGSACACCTATTGCTCTCACCATGGTGTGAGACCTAACCCGCACATTGAGGAAGAGCCTCCAGCAGCCTCTGATCCCATCTTGTGTCTACATAAACCCCAAGGATTTGCATGGAGTTCTTGCTGTACAGAAGCAGCTCTGTAGCTGTACAAAACTGTGGCAGTGGTACCTAGCATCACTCSATCCCTTGGTTTTCAAAGGCTCCAATCTCAGATGCCCGCACATCCACCTCCCCCGGGGCTCCAGGGCTTAGAACATACTTATGAATATAAATCTGATAGCTAAAGGCACAGATTTATCATAGTAAAATCATATCATAAAAAAAAAAGGCTTGCACAGATACTGTGCATTGGCTCTGACCAACAACCACAGAACAGTTGCTGCCAAGCTGCAGAACTGGCAAATTGGTGGCTATGGGTATTCACAGTGAATATCTGACTACATGTGATTCTTCATTCCCACTAATCCTTCTGTTGCAGGTATTTTAAGCTGCATTTAAAAGAGCAAAATCCAGCGGCACCTTCCAGCTGCTGATGTGTGTTTTGGCTTCCTGCTTGTTCCTCTGTGAAGCAGCCCTGTGCTACTGCAGCCCGTGGCCTCCGCAGGGAGGTGGGTGAGCTGGAAGGGGCTGYCAGGCCCCCCGCCGCTCTCTGCTTTAAACAGCAGACCCAGCACATGGTATCCAGCATGTTCATCTGCAGCCTGGTAGTGAGGGGTTGTTTGCCAGAAGTCCTGATCTTCAGAACACTCCTGCACAGTCACATACAATGAATACACACTGACCTTGCTTAGTGCCCCAGTTGTAAGTTCAAGCATGTGTTTTCTTCTGTGTTCATAAAGAGCAGTTATTTGCTGCTTGTATTGCAGTCCAAATATTAATAGTATATATAGAAAGCGTGTACCTACAGACTACAGCTGTGCACGTTAAGCATGACATTGGCTCCTGCAGGAATATTCCTTTCAGTCTTCCTATTTCCTAAAGAATCCATTAATAAGAGTCCTGCAACCTGCAGGTGTAAATTCAGACCCTAGTCTTTACTAAGCTAGGACTGAGTTAACCAACTGCATGTTTTCACATGAAAGAATTTCAAGACTATTAGAGGACAAATTCTTCCCTACACCAACCAGAACATAAGGATTTCTGCTCTTCTGCAACTACTGTCTCATCTAAGAAGTGAACTTTATATTCCCCAAGCCTTACTGCATTAAAAATATTTGCATTGAGCATTAACTGCAAATTAGCTTTTATATACATCTTTTTTTTCTYATTTCAAGTTGGTGCATCAACTGACAAAAGTAAGAGCAGCCGAACACTGCATTTACTAGTGTAACTGTCCAGCAAGTGGCACTACAGGACAAAGTTTTCAGCAAGCCCTTTGTCACCAAGGGCGCAGTAAAGCAGATTAAAGGCAAGCCTGGGATGTGCCCAAACTTGGCTGCTCCGCGAGAAAGGAGGTTCTGCAGCAGGTGGGAAGTGATGTGCGGTGATTGCCTGGGGGGTATCAATGCAAAGAGCTGGAGTGTGTTCAGCCGCTGGCCCTTGGACACGGTGTCGGGAGCTGCCCTTGGCACCAAGTTGACATTATCAGAGATCTGCCAGAAGGAACTGACAAAATTCCCAGGCGCCCTTCATTCCCACTCGCTTGGTGGGAGTGCCTGTGATGGCTTTGGGCTGTATTTTAATATCAAAAACAAGGTACTGGGTGGGTGAACCACATATAGCGCCTCTTATGATCTGCAGACTTACAGTATGTTATTTTCATGTAGAAAATCCGACCCCAAGCTGGAAGGGAWAGCAGGACAGCTTGAGGAGTACAGTACAGCTTGAGGAGCACTTGTAAGTTCAAAGATTGTTTCTGATAACGAGCTAGGAAGGTCTTCAAGTCTGTGTCAGCATTTCAGAAAAACACCATCACCCTGAGTTCCCAAGGCTTCCACTGTTAATGAGTAAACTGTTATCTAGGGGAATTTGGTCAAACAAGAAAGCAACAGAACTCTTTTTGACACCCTAAATTTTACTCTCTGCTCTTATTTAAGCTAATGCAGAAYTGGTTACAAAACCAGCTTCCGATTCTGGCTCTGTTTATGGTATCTGAATCTCATTTTGGGTAACTCTATTATACAGTGCCAAATGAAATTGGTGCATGCCCAATTTGCCCACTTATCTAGACGAAAACATGTCACTGTGTTCAGAAGGGACATAAAGCTACCTTTAGAGGGATAAATCTGCCTTTGAAGGGAATTAGGAAGCTATTTCCTCTATAATGTGGTTATACTATAAATATCTTTTATGGGTTGTTGATACCCTGAAGCATCTGTGCCAGCCGCTGTTGACAAGACACTGAGCGAGGCAGACGGACGGGGGACGGCAGCAGTCCGTGGCTGCGCCTGCAGCGCGGCGCGAGAGGAGCTGTCGGCATCCAGGGARCAGCTACTGGTGCTTCCACCTGCCCAGTCTTTCCAATGGCTTTGGAAATTAGCAATTAAAAATGTGCATCCCTGAATGTTTGCTCCTGCAGCAGCACCGGATGGCGCTTGACAACTTGTGACGACAAGGACATGCAAGGAACGCACAACAGCCAAAGAGGTCACACAGAGGCTGGGGGCAAATTCCTGAAAAGCTGAAGGGGGCGGGGGGAATTCCTAGAGAGCTGTGGCGGATTCCAAGAAAGGTAGGAGAAAATCCTAAAAAAAAAAAAAAAAAAAAAAAAGAAACTCTCCTTCATTTAATCAGGAAAGCAGCAAAGGGAATTCCTAGCAAGCAATAGATTAATCCTAGAAAACATAGGGAACGTCCTAGAAACCTCGGTGTAAATTCCTAGAAAGCAGAAGAGAGTTCCTAGAAAACCATGAGGATTTCCTAGAAAATTGTGGGAAATCCCTAGAAAGCAATGTGTGATCCTTAGAAAGCAGTGGGTGATTCTCTAGGAAACTGTGGGAAATGCCTGGAGAACAACAAGGAACTCCTAGAAAGCTATAGGGGGTTCCTAGAAAGCAATGGGAAAACCCTAGACTGCTACAGGCAATTCCCAGAAAACTATGGAAAATTCCTAGAAAACATAGGGATTTTCTGGGGGAAAAAAAAAAAAGGCAAATCCTAGAAAGTAAGATGAATTTCAATAAACTAGTGAGAAATTTCTAGGAAGCAGGGAATGAGGGTGGGATTCCAAAAGCAACAGAGATTTYTTGAAAGCAACTGGAAATTCCTAGGGAGCAAATGTAGATTCATATCAAGGTGGGTGCTCCTAGAGAGCAATGGAAACTCATAGAAAGGATGAAGGTCAAGAAATTCGTAGAAAACTCTTGGAAAATCCTGAAAAGTTGTAAAACGAAAAATCCTAGAAAGCAAAGGAGAAATCCTCCACAAATTGTGAGACCAGGAGATGTGAATCCTTAGAAAGTAATGCTGAAAAAAGCACAAGAGACCATCACTGTAAGCAGCGGGAAAAAAAATAATTAAAAACAGGAGGAAAGAGATCAGATGCTAAATAGGACCCAATCTGACAGTCTTTCCTAAATGCAACTGTTTGATTTTTACTTAGAAAACATCCATAATTTGAACTTCGCCTAACTGGAGCAGATCAGCTCAGGAGATGCAGTTTGGTTTTGAA